TCCTGACCCCATTTGAAGATTTCTTGGCAAAGATATTGGAGTGGTTTGTTATTTCCTTCTCCAGTTCATTTTAGAGAGGAGGAAACTGAGGCAAACAGGGTTAAGTGACTTGCCCAGGGTCACCCAGCTAGTAAATGTCTGAGGCAAGATTTGAACTGAAAAAGATAGTCTTCCTAACTCCAGACCCAATACTCCATCCACTGCACCACCTAGCTGTACTCACCATTTATTGACTGAAATAAATGAATGAGACTGCCCATCCCATTGTTGAGCAGTTCTGGATGTTAATTCTTTTTTATAAGACTGAATGCTGCCATCTTGTCTGAAAAATAATTTTAAAAGGAGGGGAGAGGGAGTTCAGCAAAACTAACTGACATATTGAAAAAGACTGACCTTACATACAATATTTCACACTTAGAATTCTCTTTCCCCAACCTCTTCAGAGAAGTGGGGGATCGCTTCTTTTTGGCCAAGTATGGCCATTACAATTTTGCAGCATGAATGAGCAGGCGTAGGCCCAAAAAAGAAGAGATGAAAAAATTCACTTCCCTCCTTTCTTCACAGAGGTGGAGGGAATGTGGATGTAGAATATTGAATACGTTGTTGGACTCTGTTAATGCTTTGGTTAGTTGTGCTAAAATGATTTTTTTCTCTTTTTTTTATTCTTTGGTACAAGTGATGACTTGGATGTGGAGGAGAAGGGACGTGAAAAATAATATTTTGTTGTTTTGTAAAAACCAAAAGTATCAATTAAAAATTTAATTTTTAAAAAAGAAAACTCTTTTTTTGTTTGGGGAGGAGAAAGAAAGAATGCTAGAAGGAAAAGAAGAAGGCTTGGGGAAATTATTGAACAGAGGATCCACACCACACAATTGAAGGGATTAACAGAATTGTAAATGGAATGGAGGAGGCCTTGGGATGTGGAGGGCTGCGCCCAAGAGATTATACTGGAAGAGACTGACTAACCTAATGGGGTAATCATTGACTTTGCAGCAACCAGGTGAGGTGGATGGTGCAATATTATGATACCCATTTTGCAGATTAGGAAACTGAGTGAAATGATTTGTCCCTGGCCACAGTAAATGTCAGAATTAAGATTCACCTGCAGGTCTTCTGACTCCATGTACAACTCTCTTGCAAAGCCTCCACTTTTTCCCCCTGAAAATTAATCCAGGCTCAGAATCTCCAGGACATATAGTGACTATAAGTATAAGATCCTGCATAGGTTGGTGAGTGTCCAAATTGTGACACTCAATAACTAGAAAGTTTCTCCATCTCTTTATGATTTTTTCTTTTTAGGAGTCTTCCTGTGGTTGCCCTGATATTCAATCCAATCCTTAACTCCCTACTCCCATTGCCTGAACCTCTCTGCCATTCTCTCTCTCTCTCCAGCGAAAGAGGTGATCTGAACTCTCTTGGCATCCCATTTCATTGCCTTAAGGCTCCCCAACTTCCTCCTTAAGGCTCTCTGACAGCTAAGGAGTAATTTCCTTTTGCTCTGATTTCAATGGAAAAGTATGCCAGGGACCAAAAAAAATGTGCTAAAATAATTTCTTCCCCAATCTTCAGTCTTCCCTTCTCCAAGCTAAAGGATTAAAACTCCTGCCTCTTTTAGCTGTACAATTTTCCCCCATTTCCATCAACTTCCTGAACCGCCTCCATCTCCTTTCCTGGTTCTCCAAGCCCAAGACAGAGGCAAGGGGTGGATTTATTTGGAATTCATTGAGAGGACAGATCCTGCGTGCCCACACATACACAGTTATCTGCTCCAGCTCCTCACCCTCTTTATCTTCATATTCCATCTATTACCACATCCTACTCCTTCTTCCCCAGTGGTATCACCCATCTCTCCCTCCCTGTCTTGCTCCTTCCACTAAGCTCTGATTCAGGTCCAGGTCAGCACCCACATAACCTGTCTAAACCTGCCCTTCCTTACTCTGCCTCTCTCTCTCTCTCTCTCTCTCTCTCAACCTGCAAGTCAGGCCATGATGCCATCATGTTCTCCTCCTCTGACACAGTTCCCTTCTCCTTCCCTCCCTCACTCTCTCCCTTCCCAGACTCTCCTCCAATTTACCTCCTTAATCTAAGCCTCTACTCATCTCCAAGAGCCACCACTGCAATCTGACTGGTTTCATTGTTCTCCAAGAACATTTGCCCTGTTCTGGTTTAGGGGACACCACTCCCCTAGTCTGGAATGACTTTCCCTCCCTCTCCCCTTTCTACCTTTCCCAGGCTTGCCAGTTTTTCAAGTGCCAGTCCAAATTTCACTTCCTTTGCGAAGCTGTTTTGGACTACCCCAGCCCATAAAGGTCTCTCAGGTAGCCCTTAAGTACGTCTATTTTGAAACTTCCATATTGTTATTTAACTTTTTATGTGTGTGTTTTAATTCCCCAGTGGCATGGTAATTTCCTTGAGGGCACAAGCCCAAAACTTCTTTGTGCTTTCACCCACCCCCACCTAGCAGAGTACACAATAAATCAAGTATTCTCGAGAATTGATTGGTCAGGAACCCTTTCATTTACTTGTTAGTGACAAACTCTGGCAGGTAACACCTCCTCCCAATTTCTCTCCTTCTCTCACCGCAGGCCAAGCGATCCTCCAAGCTAGGTGTGCCTTCAAGGCTAACTGGCTTAACTGAAGTTCATTTGGCCGAATTCCCAGTATGAGCCAGCTACACCACTCCATCTCCCCACCCCACACCCCAAGTGTTAAGGACTCCAGGCTCAGGGAAGCGTGGCTTGGGCAGTTTAGGAACAAAAAAAGCAAAGGGTTGGGATGGTAAGAGGAGACCAACCTGGAACTATCAAAGAGACGGGAAATAGAAACTAAGCAAAGGGACTTAGGGGCAGCTAGGTGCCACAGTAGATAGATCACCATGCCTAGATTCAGGAAGATGAATCTTCCTGAGTTCTAATCCGGCCTCAGTCACTGACTAGCTGTGTGACCCTAGGCAGGTCACTTAGCCCTGTTTACCTCAGTTTCCTCATCTGTAAAATGAGCCAGAGAAGGAAATGGCAGACCCCGCCAGTATCTTTGCCAAGAAAACTCCAAATGGGGTCATGAAGAGTTGGACACAACTGAACAACAACAAAGGGACCTAGAAGTTGGGGGGAGCTAAGAGGGGAGGAAAGGACATGGTCCTAGAGGAAATCTTGTCACACATGAGCAAATATAATGTATAAATTATGTAAGCATAATTCTAAATGGCACTTATTAAGTATACCTTCCTCTACATGCCTCTCCATCCATCCCTTCATCTCCAGAGGCCCATGCCTCCTACTCTAAGTAACAAATGGAGGTTAGTCAAGGACACATCAGACCTGGACCCTGTTCTACAATTCACTGCTGTCATTGAGTCGTTTTCAGTCATTTCCAACTCTTCATGACCCCATATGGAGTTTTCTTGGCAAAGATACTGGAGCGATTTGCCATTTTCTTCTCCAGTTCATTTTACAAATGAGGGAACAAAGTAAAGTGACTTGCCCAAGGTCACACAGCTGATAAGTGTCTGAGGCCCACTTTGACCTCAGTCTGGTGGCTCTATCCACTGCATCACCTAGCTGCCCCGGCTACAATCCATTAAACCCCTGTCAACCTGCTGGAAGACTTACTGGAAGACCTCCATCTACCAGGATAGCCACTTACCTGCCCATGAAAATTCCCCATCCTCAGACATACAGCCACCCTCAGTATAGATATAGCTATGCATAGATATAGATGCATATACACACCCCAAAACAAAACCGTGTATAGACACAAGATAGTATTCTTCTGGAGGGCTGGGACCCTGTCTTTTCACAAATAAATAGCAGGCATTCAAAATATATTTGCTGAATGAGTTAATGTAAATGTACATGTATACACATACACAACACCTTCATCTCCTGCCTACCTTCCATTGTTCTCTTTAGCCTCCAAGTCAAAAACTGGTAATGGGAGATAATGGAACTCAAAAACTTCGAAATAAACTGGGTGCCAAGGATGCACATATCAGAGGGAATGAAGGGGTCATTGGGGAAAGGGAGCCAAGGAGATGGAAGGATCAGTGAGGAGGTAGAATCTGAAGTGGATGAAGGGGATCAAATAAGATTACTATCATATGAAAAGGGACAGAGGAGCCAAGAGAGAAAGAGGAAGTCATAGGAAGAACTTCCTCCAGACTAAAGGGTCCAGACCTCTAGTCTGGGAAGCAACACTGTCTTTACAGAGTAATATTACAAATTGAGATCAGCCATTTCCAAATCAATCCTACAGCATGGGCATTTGGGCCAGGCAGGCTTTAAGAAAGATGCTTTCTTGCTCTCCCATTCCCCCTTGGCTATTCACCTTCCTTTCCCCTTTTCTTCCTCTCTTCCACCAGTGGGCTTACTAATTGCTTTGCAGTCCCAGCTCCACCCACTTTTACTGTCCTCTAAAGAAGTCCACTCCCCAAAGGAGGAAGACGGCCAGCTTCTACCAGCCACCACCACCTACCTCCAGTTCCTACCACCCTTTCCCATATCAGTTTCTCTCTTTTGAGGTTAGAGAGACTCTTCTTCTCTCTTCTTGGTTGGTGGGGGGGGGAAGGGGAGGAACAGGTATGTGACAGAGTTTCTATACCCTGTTCAATCTTGCATGCACATTTACATAGTGCATTAAGGTTTAGGGAACAAAAGTGTATGTGGTAGGGAATTCAAGCCTTTTTACAGACGAGGATACTGAGGCTCAGAGAGGTTAAATGACTTGTCCAAGGTTACACAGCTAATGAGCATCAGAGCTAATATTTGAACCCAGGAACTCTGACTGCTAACCAGAACAGGTTGCAAGGAGAGTCAGAGTGACAGGTATATGTTAGGAAGGGCTTAGCTCAAGCTGAGGCTGGGGTCTGTCTAAATGTTGAGTTCTGCCTGACATCTGTCCCTCCACTTGGGAATCAGGATTTATCAATGGCAGAGGGGGTCCCTCTGTCTGATGGGATAAAAACACTGTGGTTTAACAAGCGAGAGTAAGGGCAGACTGACCTGTATGGGTTGAGAGTGCAGACAGTGACTGCCGGGAAGACGAGCTTGTCAGAATTGAGGTTGATGTTGAGACTAACCGGGTAGCTGAAATACTGCCCAAACAGCAGGCCAAATTGCCAGTACATCATACCGAAGGTACAGAGCCACAACACAGCCCAGAAGGCTGTCTTCATTCGGTTGTGCTTGGAGCAAACCAGTCGGATGGCACCATGGATGGTGGTATTGTTGCAGAAAAACTGGAAGAGCTCTCGGTAAGAACGGTGGAACTCAATCAGGCCTTCTTTTTCCTCCTCCTGGGGGCCTCCAGACTCGGGGTGCTGCCCCTCATGCTCAACTTTTTCCTCCTTCATGGGGCCTTGGATTAGGAGTAGATAATGTGAGTCAAGGCTAGGCTATTGACTTGCCTACCTCCATTATCATCAACCTAAACTCTTCCTTTCCCCAGGCTGGGAGTGGGGCCAAACCTCCTGGAGTGGTGGGGAGAAAGGACAATCCCACTCCTCTCCACCTACCCAGCCTTCCCTGCTTTTCCTCTGGAACCAGCTAATTTGCTGGTTTGGGCGGGTTAGTGCCAGTCCTAGAGTATCTAGTTCACTTCTTTCTCTGTCAGCTGTTTTCTACTCTTTAGAGTGAGTGCTTTTCTAAAGCTTTCTGGCTAATTTTTAGTTTCTCACTTTTGTCCCAGGTTCTCCTGTCTCTATCCTACTCATTCCAGAAGGTCTTTCTCTATTTTTTCTGTCTCTTTCACTCCAGGTTAATCTGTCTCTATCTCTCTGTTTCTGTCTCTCTGCCTATCTGTCTCTTCCTCACTGTCTGTCTCTTTGCATCTCTTCCTTTCTCTCTCTCTCTGTCCTTTCCTCCTTCTCCTCCCCCCCCCACTTTAGTCTGTCATATCTCCACCTCTTCCTCTGTCTCTGTGTTACCCACTCAGGCTTCGTCTCAGCTCAGCTTTCTCGAGCCTCAGGGACTGTGAGTTCCAGGAGGTCTGAGTTGTCTCCTGCTCCCTACTCCCAAGAGGTAGTTAGGCAGGGACTGGTTTCTTTCCAGTTGAATCTGGCAGCTGGGTCTCTCCTCCCCCTCACCTGACAGGTGCAGTGGCCTGGCCAGCCAGCCCGCCCAGGATGGAAGTGACAGAAGCCTCATTAGCATCGCAATTAAAGGTGAGCAGGGCAGGGAGGAGGAGCAGAGGAGGAGCTTGGGCTGATGGGGAGGAAGGTGGGCATGGAATAGACAGCCCAAAGAACTTTACATTGGAAGAGAAGCCTGGGGGACACCAAGGGAGTCTGGGGGTGGGACAGTGAGGTGAGTGGACTACCAGGAAGAAAAGATAAGCAGCGGCAAAAAGAGACAGAGACAAAAAGAAGGTGAATAGAACAGGAACTTTGATTTGAGGGTGGCCAGGGGCAGAGAAAGTAAATTGGGATGAGAGGTATATAATAGCATCATAGGATTTAGAACTGGAAGAGACTTTATCAGTTATGTCATAGAAGGCCTTCACTACATCTTCAAAACATCTAATACAACCCTTTCATTTTTCAGATGAGGGAACTGAGACTCAAAGAGATAAACCAACTTGCCAAGGTCTCACAGATAGCAAGGGACTGGGAAACTCAGGGTATCGAGATGCTGGAGGGGAGAGAACAGAGAGAAGAGGAAGAAGGTAAAGAGAATGGGGCAAGAACAAAGGAATTAGGAAAGGAGGTAGGGTAAATAAAATAGGGTAAAAGGTGAACCAAGAGTGATGATGGAATAAGGAAGACAGACATGACAGGGTGATAGCTGGAGAGATTAGTCATCAGGGGTACATGGGATTAGAGGGGAAAGGAGACCACAGCAGGTAAGTGGCTCCCCCGCTTCTAGAAACAGGGCAAGTAAAGAGTGAGACATAATTTGCCTTCAGGAATAAGAGGGAAGGTTCCCCAAGTAAGGGTAGGGTGGAAAGAGCATCCTTTAAGGTGGGCTGCTGCTTGTTCAATCCTGCCTGGGGCAAGGGAGAGGAAGTATTAGGAGAATTTGCCTGTCCCTCCCTGCTTGTTGATGTGGGTAACTCTTCCTTGCTCCACCCCGCCGCTCCCCTTTGCCCAGACCATCTCCTTCCCTTCTCCCTCCTCCTGCCAGACACTGGCTTTGCTGGGAAGGAGCCAAGGTGAGGCTTGGGGGATGGGTTAGGGCTCAGGACATTCTGTTCTTTTTTGCACCATTGACTGCCAGGCTAGGAATGTGTAATATCCACTGTTGTGAGAAGAAAGGGACAAGAATGTGGACACGGGGAAGTGAGCCAGGATCAGGGCAGAACCAGGGGTAAGCAAAAGACAGGACCATAGCAGGGTGCTAAGAGAAGGCTCAAGGAGAGAGGAGAGGCACAAAGGATGGTAAAAACAGGGTGCAGACAGAGTTCTGGACACATAGCGGGCAAAGACTAGTCATAGACAGAGCAGGGGGTCACAAGACTTAGCCTATTCCAGTACCCTGAACGAGATAGAGGCTATGGTGCAGGGAGTAGACAGAGCTGACCTGGGGAGGAAGAAGAGAGAAGGCTCTGCAAGGAAAACAAAGCTCTTTGGGCTGGGGTTGCATCTTCTCTGCTCTTATCTTATCTTATGCAAAGAATTTGACCCGCGGGAAGGTAAATAGCAAACAGTCCTTTGGGAGGGGGGCAGGTAGAGAGTGGGTAGGGCTAGGTTAAGGAGGGAAGAAATGTTTGAGGAGCCAGAAAGGAGGGGCAAAAGAGAGGAAAGGAAAGTTGTTGTACACGCAGACAAATGGAGTTTACCATAGGATTTGGGACTAGGAAAAAGTTTAGTCATCATCTGATGCAGATGTTCTTAATGTGGGGTGCCTGAATTTTTGTAAATAACTATTTCAATATAATTTTTTCCTTGGCAATGCTATGTATTTTAGTTTATTCATGTAAACATATCCTGGGTCCATAAATTTGACCAGACTGCCAAAGGGATCCATGACATGAAAAAAGTTGAGAATCTTTTATTTAATCCAACTCCCTCATTTTAAAGATGAAGGGACTGAGATAAATGTGCAGGTAAACTCTTATAAATTAACTACCACATCCTGTCACACAAACATATATGAACTTGCATGTAACATGTTAAATTATGCAACAGGACACCAATAATCTAATATATTTACATAGGAGAGGCAGCATGGTATGCTGGATGGAGAGCCAACCCTAACTCCAGCAAATGTCCTGTCTCTGACATATTGGCTATCACCCTGGCAAGTCATTTAACTTCCCAGAGCTCTGGACAACTCTCTAAGACTTTAAGTTGCAGAGAAGATGCCAATATGCATTGGTGAAGGTGACATTCTGCATTGGCCAAGGGAATTTCCTTCCTGGGAGTTCCTCTCACCAGTAAAATCACATATCTGGTCCTAGCTCTATTTACATACAAGTTTTCTTCCAGAGATATGGTCTTATTTCCCCTTTATGGCCAGCATTGATATCAAAAAGATCCCCAAGGATTTTAAACTTGGCACTTCTTTCTTTTTAGAATACCTGATCACAGTATATCTATGAAGTTGGAAAGAAGTTGGTTTTCCTCCTATTTTAATGATGAGGAAACCAAGGCCCCAAATCACATAGTGAATGAACCACAGAGTTAGAATTGAAAGCCAGGTCTGGTCCATATCCCCAGATATCTGTAATCTTTGCTTCCTGCGCTAAACCAGTCACCAATCTGTGATAAAATGATGCTATGGGTCTGACTCTACAAATGAGCATAGAAGAAATAGGAAGAGCCGGTATCCCCAAATAAACCTGTGTTATTACATCAACACTTCCTCAAACCAGTTCTGGATCATCAGGCAAAGTATCTTTCTAAATCTTTGAACACAATCCCTAGTTGATTCCTACCTTGACCAGATATTTCCAGTAACCCCAGTTCTAACCCCAAATAAATTTTCATTATCTGCAGAGCAGACAGCTACCTAGCTGGTGCCATTGTTCATTTGCTCCCCATCCCCCTTCAAAAAAAATACATGTCCCAACCCCATCCACCCCCCAGAAAGCATACACACCCCAGCCCCAGTCCCATCTGCTGATTGATACCTGGAGTTCTAAAATTACAAGCTTACTCCTTTGACTAAAGTTGTGATGCCTGTTAAAATGCAAAAACTCCCCATAGAAGCCAAACTTAAGTTTCACCAGTGTATTTTAAAGTCCAGCTCAAACATCCTCTACAGGAAGCCTTTCTGTATTCGCCCAGATGCCTCCAAAAGTGGCGTCAGCTTATTTTGTACATACTTCTACATATACATGACGTCTCCCCCAGAGCAGGCCTGCACAACATACAGCCTATGGCTGCTTGTGGTCCACCAAAGGATTTCAGGCAGCCTGCAAAAAATGTAGAGGATGTAAAAGAAAGTAAAGATGTAACGCATGCTTTGTCCATGGCCCGCTTAACCCGTCTTCCATTATCACTATTGCACCATCGTATAACTTGGCAGGTGGGTTGCCCCTGCGCACTGTCCTGTTTGTCAGGTGACCCCAGTAACGAACCATTGTTCGTCTGTCTGTAGTCTGAGAAGAGCTAGAGCCGTATCTTTTCACTGTGTTTTCAGTCATTGCTGGTGTTGAACAAAGTAAGTGCAGCCATGTGCCAATGCAGCTGACCCCTGCTATGTATTTAGTGGCAACAAAGAGAAGGCCCTGCCTCGCTACGCAGCTGCCCTCCAAGTTACTTGAGTGTCTGGCGCTCTCTCCAAGGTCAGACACTCAGTTCAGTATTTCTTTGTAGGTGAGCAGTTGCTGGGGAGATTTTTTGGTTCTAGCATTAAAGTTTTTGGGATGACTTTGTAAAATGGGTGATAAAAAGAAATGGAAGATTGAATCAGAATATAGAGTGTTTAATCCAGAGTGGAGAAATAGATACCTGTTTACTTACACAAGGGACAAAATATTGTGCTTTGTTTGCCGAGAAGTTATAGCCATTCCAAAGGAATACAATCTTCATCGCCATTTCATTTAGAATAAAAACATCCTAATTTAAACAAATTGGACACCAATGAAAAACAAATTAAAGCTTCCAAAGTGCTGAAAAATCTCAGTGGGGAACAACAGTTTTTCAAGAAAGTAAACTCAGAAAATGAGGCGGCTACTTAGGTTAGTTTTCAGATTTCTAAAGAAATCGATTTCAAACATGATTCTGGAGTACGATAAACTGATTGCTGACAAGAAGTGTAATATATCCCATTAACTAAATGTAAACAGTAAGAAAACCTGAAAAATGTATTAAAACTTGAATCTCTTAGCAAAGTAATTTTTTAACATTAATGTGATTTCATGATAAATAAAAATCTTAAGTAATAAGTGTAATTAATTAATATTAATTGAAGTTTCCCTTTGTTTAAAATGGTTTATTTGCAAAATAGTTTGATCATTAATCATACCTTTACTTGGAAAGTGAGCCGCTAAAAATCTATCTGCAGCTGGAAGAAGTTTAGCCTATTTTAATTTTGGCCCCTACCTTCTGCCAAGTTGTGCATGTCTGTCCTAGAGAATGCAAGCTACGGAGAATAAGGACTGTTTCATTTTTGTCTTTGTACCCTCAACTCCTAATAGTGCTTTGTTGTTATTATTGTTCAGTTGTGTCCAACTCTTTGTGACCCCACTTGGGGTTTTCTTGGCAAAGATATTGGAGGAGTTTGCTATTTCCTTCTCCAGCTCATTTTACAGATGAGGAAGCTGAGGCAAACAAGGCTGTGACTTGCCCAGGGTCATACAGCTAGCAAGCATCTGAGACTGGATTTGAACTCAGGAAAATGACTTCAGGCCCAGTGCTCTATGAACTATGGCACCACTTAGCTGACCAGTAGTGCTTAGTGGATGGTTAATAAATGCTTATGGATTAATTTATTATCAATGATTCAATTTTAATAATACTCAATGGTTATAGTGTATTTTGCATAAAATATATCTTGGTTAGTTACCCTTCTCTCCCAATCCCTCCCCCCACCAAAAGATCTTCATTCATTACCTACTATTTTGCCTAAAATTCCACCTTTGAGTTCCATTTCTTTGGGTTAAAACATTGTCCTTGATAAATTGGTAATAGCCCTAGGAAGGATGATGTGCTAAGGGGTAGTGGAAAGGCAATCAGGGTTAAGTGACTTGCCTAGGGTCACGCAGCTACTAAGTATCTGAGTTCA